CTTCTTGCCTGCATGGTTTGTGCTAAATAGTCAGAGCTTAATCTGAGTTGCTTGCCTTTGTTAGTGTCACTTTTCTTCTCCCTTGTTCCTTTTAGGATTCTCTCCTTGTCTTTGATTTTGAAGAGTTTGATTATGATATGTCTTGGTGACTTTCTTTTGGGGTCTATCCTTCCTGGGGCATGTTTGGCTTCTTGAATGTTTATCTTCTCATCTTTCAAGATGTCAGGGAAATTGTCTTCCAGAAGCTTTTCAACTGTCTCCTCTGTGGACTTCTCTGATTCTTCCTTTTCTGAAATGCCAATCATTCTTAAGTTGTTCCTCTTCATTTTATCTAACATGAGTTTTAGACTCTTCAGATTTTTTTATCCTTTTTTTCTGCTTGCTCTTGTATCTTAGCAGTATTGAGAGATTTGTCTTCCATCTCACTAGTTCTGGCTTTCATCTCTTCTGTTCTGTTCCTTTCCCCTTTCAGTGTGTTGTCCATTTCTGATATTTTATTATTAGTCATCAGGAACTCTTTTTCCATTTTTTGAATTTTGTCCAGTGCTGTGTCAATCTTGTTTGATTAATCTTTTAGTACTTTCCTGACTTCTTCTTTGTTTTCCTCCACCCCTTTTCAGAGCATTTGAATTTGTTTCCATGTCATTCTTCTGAATTCCTTCTCAGGTAAATCCAAAACCTGCTCTTCGTCTTCTGTGGAACCTTTGTCTGTCTCCCGTGCATTTGTCTCAGTTACTCTTTTCTGTTTTGGGGCATGTTTTGAGATAGTTTGTTGTGTTTGAGATCTTTTGTTTGTCATTGCCCATAGTTATATTGTTTTTTTAATGCTAAAATAAATGTTTGTTGTTGTGTTATTAAGCTTACTTGGTGTCTCCTGGTGGATATGATCAGGAGACAAGTTTCCCTTTCCCCATGTAATGCTTAGCAGCTGTTATTGGCTCTTGTCTCAATGGTGGAATATTATGTGGTATGCTTGTATCTTGGTTATATGGCCATGATTGCTGTCTCTTCTTGAGTAACATAGGGATAAAAAGCTCCCACCTTCAGGAAAAAATGTGTGGGAGCTTTTTCTCCCTATGCTACCCCAAAAATGTATGGGAGCTTTATCTCCCTTCGTAACCCCCCCCTCCCCCCCAATCAAAAGGACCAAAAGCAGAAGCAGAGACAAAAACCACCACTTTGAAACAAAAATAAAACTGTGGTTGACTGTCCAGTCACCTTGCTACACAGGTAGTATATGTGTAATGTAGAAGCCTCCAGCATTGGGTGGGGTGTCCACTCGCTCAGGCTCCTCCTCTAGTCACCACCATGGAGGTGTGTAGATAGATATTGAGAAGTTAATGGGAGAAAGATTGTCCACTATTTTTGACTCTTAAGGTTAGGTATCTGCTTGTGCACAGCATAATTCTCGAGATAGTTGCATCCTTTTATGTTGGGGTTTTACAGATTGTTCTATGGTTTGTCTGTCAGGCTGATGGGCCTGCTTCGTTCTTGCTAGATAGGCTGGAGTAAAGAGTCCTGCACAAGTTAATTTTAGTCCTACAACCCCGAGGCTGAAGTTATAAGCAGCTTCCAAGCTGTTTCTTTCTATACTGTGGGAAAACTGTGGAATCAGCACTGGACTTTTTTTTGAGGAGGAGCGGGGGTGCACACCCACCCACCTGAAGGTGTCCAGACTGGGCAAAGAAGGCTCCACAGGGAATAGGAGGAAAAAATGTGTAGAATCCCCTGCACCTCCTTTTGCAAATGTCACTGCACCACTTTCAGCACCACTTCCCTCTGCTGGTCTGTCTGTAGCCCTGCCCTCTGAACTCTGCCTGGGCAGGGTGGCCGCAGAGAGAGTCCTGTCTCCAGCAATTCCCAACTCGCAATATTTTCCTTTATATTGTGATTTTTTCACGTGCGTGTGTGGGAAACTGTAGTCCTGGACCTTATGGTAGATCCAGAGCTCTGGTGTTGTTCTGTGAGCGCAGCTTCTCTGGGTTTTCAGTCCCTTCCCCATGAAGCTTTCCTACCTGGCTGTCTCTGCCACTGTCCAAACCAGATCTCTGACTTAATACATTTTAACACACTAATATAAATATACTTAAAGTCACTTTTTAATATTTTCCATTGTAGGATCTGAGATGATTCATTTTGATGGGAAAAGTTTCTTACTCTACACACTTAAGAGATCTCTGAGTTCAACAAAAGATATTATTTCTTTGAAATTTAAAACCATGCAGAGTGATGGGATTCTACTCCACAGAGAAGGACAGAATGGCAAACGTATCACTCTGGAATTAGTTAAAGGACAACTAATCTTATTCTTTAATTCAGGTAAAAGTTACAAGGGAGTGGTTTTGAAAATGTGTTTGTTTTTTTTTAAATGGCAAGGTTTAAAAAATATTTTTTCATACCTAAATTTAATTTATATTTCAATTATTATTATTGTTTTCAAATGACAGCACTCTTCAGAATGAAAGGAGGCACCATTAATAACTATGCTAGAATGAGAGAGGTAAATCTAAATTGCCTTAAGCCAAGTGAACATATGGTTTCCCTGTAGTTGAGACATATTAATGGCAGCATGTATGTATCTTGAATGTGCTTTTATATTTTGATAATTGTATAAGAGCATCATTAGATGTTCAGTAAATAACATGGTAGTATTGAAAAACCCAGAGTGGGTCATAGTAAAAGTTTAAGATAGTATTATTAATGAGGTCCAAGAAAATATTTTCAAGAAAAATGAAAATACAATGTATAACAATAGTGAAAACAAATGAATACATAAAGGAATTAACATTAAAAGATTGGGTTTTGAGATTAAGTTGAAATTTGCAGACCCGTTCTTTGGATATAAGAGTGGATGGGACTTTTGAATTTTTATTGTGGTGAGATGCACTGAATTACTAAAGAGAGATCAGGGTTTTGTATTTTTTATAAATGAGCTTTGTTTGCTTCCCCTTCCAGGCAATATGACACTGCTTTCCCATGATGCCAATGTGAAGCTGACTCTAGGCAGCCTGCTGGATGACCAGCACTGGCATTCTGTCCTCATCGAGCTCCTCAGCTCATATGTCAGCTTCACGCTGGACAGACACACTCACCATTTTCAGGCAAAGGGAGAATCCAGTTACTTGGATATTAATTATGAGGTGTGTGAAAGTTTTCAAGTATTACATTTCATCATTTAAATGTAATAAATCTCTATTTTATAAATATGAATAGTATCACAAAGAGAAATTTCCTTTCCTAGCTAGGGTAGTAGTCTCCTTTTCTGTCGCCATTGAGTTGATTGTGACTTTTGGCATCCCATATATATGTCAGAGCACAAGTGTACTGTGCTGCACCTTAAAGTTTTCAAGGGCTGATTTTTTTTCTGGTGTGACTTAGTGTAGACTTAAACATTCAATCTTTTGGTTAACATCTAAGCATGTTAGCTGTTTGTACCACCCAATAATGTAATATTCCCCATCAACAAATGACAGAGCCATATGATTGGCAAATTGTAAGAAGGATATTTATTCTGACACATATATTAATAAAGAGCTTAATAATTAAGAGATACTGGTAAAATTATTGATAAATGTACATGTTTTCAAACTTTATTTGACATTAGCATGATGATGTAAAATGATACAGAATAGACTTGTGTAACAAGTACACATGTTAATCATAAAGGTTTCAGACAGAGCATCGTAAAATTATTACACAGTATTATTTATGTCATTTTTTTCTTTCTAAGATCAGCTTTGGAGGGATTCCTGGACGTGGAAAGTCAGTGGCATTTTTACAAAGAAACTTCCATGGTTGTTTAGAAAATATCTATTATAATGGAGTAGATATTATTGATTTGTCCAAGAAACACAAACCACAGATCCTCATTATGGTAAGAAGTCTAAATACAAGTTAAAGGGAAAAGAGAGTTCTAATTTGTTCATTCATTAGGTTTTAGAATATATCTTGTCTGAAAACAGGAAAGATGCACATCGTATTTATTTTTAGTTCATATGTGATTTACTTTTATATACATACAGACATACAAAGGTGTCATTTTATAAAGATGCTAAGATGTGATTTTATCAAGGGTTGTTAATACAATTGTTGTTTATCTTTCTTTTTGATTGGCTTCTTCTTCTTCCTGTTTCCCCCTACAGCGAGGTGTTCCCTCCCACTAAATCACCCATGTTACCACACTAGCATTTATCTTTCTATGTTTGGTCCCTACAAAGATAAACTTACATCAATCTATAAACTCATATTCCCACATATATTATGAATATATGTGGTAATATGAATCCACCTCTTACAATTTTTACAAAAATAGGGTCAAATAGATAACTTTTCTGGATCTTGAGATTTATTTATTCAGAAATACTTTTGAGATATCTGACATAGTTTTGTTTTATAATGGTTGTTGTGTTGGGAAGTCCCCATGATCACCCTAGAGTTCAATGATCTTTTCTTTTTTTTCAAGAAAGTATTGATTTTTAAAAATTTCTGATATCCAAGTTCTATAGTCCATCAGGAGTTGGAGTCTTGCTCCCACTGCTGTGGGACTCAGGCCAGTCTTTGGTCAAGGCTATTCTATTCTACTAACCTTTATTAAATGTTAGTGTGCAGGGCTCTTAATTCTTTTAGGCTCAAGAAACATGATCTGGGCCTGGCTAGTTTTAAAGTGCTGTCCTGTCTGGTTCCGACTCATGGTGATCATAGAGTTTCCGAGGAGCAGCTGGTGGATTTGAGCCTCTGGCTGCATGGTTAGCAATACAGAGCGTATCCTATAGCACCACACCAGGTCTCCAGACCTGGCTTAGTTCCTCAAGAAAATGGGATTTGGTCCGTCCTACACCCAAGACTGACTCCCTTGCCACTACTGCCTATGCCGTCTGTTTGTTCTAGTCCCAACTGAAATCCCTCTCTCAGCCCATGAGAGCCACTAAGGAAAAGCCTTGCCACTGGTGAACATCCACCTGCAGGACAGTGTGGCCAGTAGTGACTGGGCATACTGTGGAGTGTCCTATTCTGGTGGCTGGTGGCTCCTTGGCCCATGTTCTCCAGGCCATCAGAGTCTCAGTCCAGAGACAACTCCACTCTTCCCACTGTGCATGCGATCAGCCCAGTCCACACTCTGGGTTCCCAGCTCTGGGAGCCCTGGTTTAGGCCCACTGCCAACAGGGTGCCCTCCGGCTACTGTTCCTCATCTATGGAGTAGGCACGTGGAGGTCAGGCCACATGGATCAGGGATGTTGTATTACTGGGAGGTGTTGCACCTACCTCTTTGGAGGAGTGGTCACTGCTCAGGCTGTCTCCAACTCAGTGGCCACAGCTGGGGTACCCGTAGAGGGAACAGAGAGAAGCTGGGTTTACTGATTTGCTATCAGGATTCACAGGACTCAGATTATAGTTATGATCATGGCTATGATTTATATGTTGTTGTTAAGTGTTGTTGAGTGACCTTTTATAGGGTTTCCAAGGAGTGCCTGGTGAGTTTGAACCGCCGACCTTGTGGTTCAAATCGACCTTGTGGTCTAGTACTATATTCCACAGCAGTTGTTGGGAGATGTAAGCTCCCGAAATATATGATTTATATATTACAGTGAAAAGATAACCATCAGAAAAGAAAAGGTACGTAGAAGGAAAACCAGATAAAAGCTTTCAGAGTTTTCTGTCCGAGTGGAGTTACACAGGATGAACTTAATTCTTCCAAAAACAACACTGGAAAACACATGTCAAATGTTGCCAATCAGGGAAGTTCGTAAGAGATTCTGAAGGCTGGTCACATAGGTAGCCTCTTCCTTGAAAATACAAAAAGTCCAGACTCACAGAAGAAAAACAGGTGTTCAGCATAAAACACACCTTTTGTACAGTTTAGGCACAGTGTATCACTTAGCTAGTGTTGAAGTTCTCCTGAAACCCAGGTTCCCAGATGTCTAACCCCAGGTCTAGCTTATAAGCAGGCCTTTCAAAGGATAGTGCAAACTCTTTTCTGCACAACTGTTTAAAGTCAATTTTGAGAATGTACCAGTATCTATTTAGCTATTCTTCTAGTCAAGGCATTTTCCTTATTTCTACTTTTTGGCTGCTACAAACCATATAATAATCCACCTCTCTGCACATGAGTTTTCAGGTACTGAGCTTTAATTTATTTGAAGTAAAGTTCCAGGATTAGAATATCTTGACCAAAAGGTTTGCCTGGTTTTAAATTTTAATAAATGTTGTGGACTGCTTTCCAAAAGGCTTCTCTGTAAGACATCACATTTCCTCCAGCAGTATGACTGTACCTTCTCCATGCATCCCATCCAGCAGCATGTGTTATAAATCTTTGAAACAGTTGCCAGGTCACATTGGGTATAACATGATGCCTCACTCTTTCTGATTTGTAGAGAGTTTAAGTAATCTTTTCACATGCTTGTTATCCATTTGGGTTTACTTTTCTGATCATGGTTTATTCCTATTTTACTGCTGTCCTAAATAATTTTTATCAATTTATAAGAGAGATTTACTTTTTATAGATAATCCTTTGTCATTAGTGGTACAAATATTTTTCATATTTATCATATTAATAAAACATTGTTTGAATTTTGAGCAAATAATGTTTTTCTTTCTATGTAGTCAATATGTTTTTTGTTATGACTTTGGACTGATTCTTACTTTAAATGTCTCTAAAACCCTAGAGTTTACATATAGTCTGATAGTCTATAAGATTTTAAAAATTGATTTTATTAATGTAATTTAAAGTTTTAATTATTCTCTATGTGATATATAACTATATCTTTTTTGGTATCATGTGCTGAAGATACCCATTACTTTCTATGCTAATTCAACCTTTTGCCCACAGAATTAAATGATAACCTTCAATGATAGTATATGAAATATTCTCAGATCTTTTTTTTTTTTAATGAAAATGTACCCAAAGAAAAGATTCCTTTAGAGATCCTAATTGGAGTTGTACATGTTTCCCATCAAAACATTGCCCTTGATTAAAATTAAATATGTTTTAAAATAGAACTGTATAAAGATACAATCATGTCTGTAATGCAGAAAGTCCAACCTTAGACTGGTTGATCACCTGGGTAATGTGGCCTCTGTGTGCTTCTGATAGGCAGCCTCCTCCCTCCTGGGCAACATCTAGCCTTGCCACCAGCCTTCCCTTCAGTCACGCATAAATACACCTCTTACCTGAAATAAGATGTCTCTATGATTTGAGTATCATATATGTAATTGCATTACACAATTAAGGCAAATAAGAAAAAGTTCTTGAAGTAGATGAACTTGAGACATCTGTTGATCTGCATATCAACAGAAAGCTAGTTATTTGAAGCTAAGAAAATTGTTTTAAGTTGTTTGTTAATTATTGTATCTAGCACTTGACTATATAGTAGCCAGCTTGTAATTGTTATGCTAAGGCTGAGAAATGGAGAAGACAGAACACTTTGTAAAAGATGCAAGAATAGATTCACCCAAGTATAACAATGCTTTGGTTTGAAGGATCTACAAGATCCATGTTATCAATTTAAGTCTGATGAGAACTAGTGTTTGGAAACCCTGGTTCACTTTGTGAGTCTTAAATGATGTGTTTTAAATGGAATGGAGGTATTCTGGCACCTTCCTAATTTCCTTTCTTGATTGTGTTTTCAGGGAAATGTGTCCTTCTCTTGCCCACAATCACAAATGGTCCCTGTGACCCTGTTGACCTCCAGGAGCTATTTGGCCCTGCCAGGTACCTCTGGAGAGAACAAAGTGTCTGTCAGTTTTCAGTTTCGAACGTGGAACATAGCAGGACTGCTTCTAACCAGTGAACTTCATCATGACTCAGGGACTCTCGTCCTTGTTCTCAATGATGGAAAACTCAAGTTGAGTCTTTTCCAGCCAGGATGTTCAAGGATGGATGTCACAGCAGGTAATCAATGTATTCCCTAGCAAATCCAATGATTATATCTTCTGTTGTGGTTGTTAATTGCCATCAAGTAGGTTCTGACTCACAGTGACCCTGATAGGGTTTCTGAGGAGCAGCTGATGGATTCGAACTGCCGACCTTGTGGTTTGTAGTCTAGTGCTGCTCCTACAGTACCACATATCATCTGTATACCCTCCAAATCCTAAAGCTAAGATTAGTAAGGTTTTAAGTAAGGGAATAATTGACTCCACATTAAGAACAAGAGTCATCATCCTGTTTAAAGGAATTAGATTTTTTTTCCTTTTCATAAAGAAATTCCATGTTGTCCAAGTGTGAATTAGTATGACAGAAGTTTAGCCACAAGAAAGCATACATTTCTAGAAGTTGAAAACAACTCCATTTGCAGATTGATGCTTATTAACTAGTAGTAAATTTGAAATTATACACATATTATTAGCCTAATCTGAGATAGTTTTATGAAACTATATCTCTATTAACTGTCTTTTGAGTTTACGGGTTTTGAAATAATATAAGTAATATTGCTTTCCTGTTTTGTCAGAACTGCTGCTTTGTTTGGTTGCTACCTTTTTACTTTTTAATTGTGCTTTGGGTGAAAGTTTACAGAGCTAACTAGTTTTCCATTCAACAATTTATGTACAATTTGACTGATGACAGGAGTTGCAATCCCCTCAATGCATCAGTGCTCTTCCCACTTTCTCCCTGTGTTCACTGTTTTCATTCTTTCTTGCTTGCTCCTTTCTGCCTTCTGAAGTTTATATTTGGGTGCTAGACCTTATGTAGTTGATTAAGAAAGACATTCCTCTTGTGTGTTATTGTTCACTTTATAGGCCTTTATTTTTTTTTAAGGTTTTATTGTGAGTTATGTGTCAGATGGATGAACATTATCTATCTTTACATTCATCCTGTCATAGTTTGTTTCATTGTAATGATCACAATCCTCTGCATGCATCATCAAACACCCAAAGAGTACACCCACACACCTGCCCCCTGGCCACCAGCACATACCCCTTTCCCTTCCTGAGTCCAGAGTCCCCAGCTGCTCCTTCTATCTACCTCATCACCTTTGCCTCCATCCCTAGTGTCACTCTGGACAGGGTCTCCTACTTCACTTTTCTCCCTTGATAGTTCCAGGGATCTAGGCTCTGAATTGCAAAGTCAGCCACTCCCCTCCTTTTGTTACCATATGTTTACATTTACCTTTCCAACACTCACTGTCAGACCTGATAGCAATCATTCCTTATTGAACCATAGGAGTCCTTTCCCCCTCACCTTTTATCAACCCCATCCAGACAGGTTGGAAACAATTTAGTGGAGGTTCTATCTTTTCCTATATCCACTGGAGCTAGGTTCCCTATTGAAAGCTTGTAAGCCAGCCTCTCCTTGCCTTTGTAGTCCCCTCATTTTGGGTAGCTAATATCTAAGTTCCCTATCCCTGTCAGCCCTGTGTACTAAGGGGGTTGGAATGATTCTCACTATAGAGATTTGTGCACTCCTTTGTCATACTGCATCCACAAGTATAGGTCAAGATGATCCACTCATAGTGAGTTACTCCTTTTTCTTCCCTCTTCTTTCTTCCTCTAGTCGTGTTCTGATCATCCAGCCATTGATGCCAGGTCAAATGGGTACTGTCTGCAATTGTGGGTGTTCTTGTGCATCCCCCCTCACTTTATATCAGCTGGATGCTTCACACTCCATTCTAGTTCTCTGGTGCCATATCCCTGGCCTGGACCCAGAAGTCTCCAGGTCTCATCATACTGCTGGTTAACCAGGTCTCAATCCAGATTAATAGGTGTCTAAGGAGCTCTGGTAGCGTAGTGGTTACGAATCGGGCT